GGGGGGGACACCGAAACCTCGCGAGAAGTCGATGCGGAGCCGTCAGCGGCTGTGGAGAGAGACCCTACAGACTCCAGGCCTGGGGTAACCTGCCGATGGCGGGGCCGGGGGCTCACCCTGGGAATAGCCTGAGCGAGGCGGCGAATCCTGACAGTTCTTTGGCCCTGCGACCTCAGTCCAACCACGCAGTCGTAAATAACCGTGCCGGCACCTGGCCGCGCCAGAAGCCAACACCGCCGGGTACAGCGGGGTCAGCGGAACTCGGGAGCCCTCGGGTGCTGGCTGTCCCGGGCCCCGGGCTCCCGTGGCTCCTTGCCTCTGCCTTGCCGTGTGGGTGTCAGAGCCCTGGTTAGCACTCCTCTACGAAAGTCACACCGCCTAACGGTCTCCTGATCTTATGACACGAGGTCGTGAATAATTTGCAATTGTATCTTAACAGGTACAACAAAGATGAGGTGAACAAATTTGGTTCAAGTCATAAAGATTGCAGATTTTATGTCAAATCATATTTCAACTACGCAATGGTACTTTTATTGAGGGAAGTCTAATGCTGTTCCCCCCCCACCCTTTTTTTTGGTTACCGTTAATTTTTTTATTATTTTTTAGAATCATTAATATGCCCACGATCACTCAGTTCAACAAATCAGAACTGTATTAAACAAATAAATGAAGGATTTTTAAAATTCTTGATAAAGACAAAATTTCAAAACACACCCTTACTTTTTGTGGGAAGCCATTGGTATAAACACAAGAATTGATAAGCACATTTTGTGCTTTATTTTTGTTTGCTACATTGTCAGTAACTGTCTTATGAGAAAGTGCATATGACATTCTTCATATGTTATAGGGTTTCCCACCTCTAACCCCAGTTTTGATACTGAGTTATGCTAGCTTAGGTTTTCATATTTTGGACTGGTGAGAAGCCCACAAAGCATATTAGGGCTATAAAGACGACTAACCAGTGGTTTCAGTTGTGCTGCAGTGACAAGGGACTAAGATCAGTTCGTTTTGGCAATTCTTAAAATTGGGGCTTTCAGATGCAACCAAAATAAAGTTCTCGTGTCCAGGTCCTGCTACTCCTATTCCTAACACCTTGTTTTTAATATAAGTCAGTGGGATTTTGCTTCCTTAAAGCTACCAAAAGTGGCAAAAAGAAACATCTTTTATAACATATTAACAAAACCGTAGTTTAGGATGTCATTTCTGCTTGTTTACTTATGCCTGTTGGTTTTATGTAATAAAAAGCTTCTTGTTTTATTAAGAAGTTTCCCTCAATTTCTCTGAATTCCATTTAATTTTTCCAAAAAGTACAACAGTTTCTCTAAAATTGTTTGCTTTGAATTCAACACAATTTCCTGACTTCCTCATGAATTTCCAACATGTCCTAATGCTGGAATTCTTGAGCAGACTCATAAATTTTTATTAGTTGCTTTTAATTAAAGCTAAGTAGCTCAGAAGAGAATTAGGGAGATAAAAACAATAACATATTACACATGACAAATTTTTAAGATGATCTTAAACATGTATATATGTTCATATATTTATATTCATATATTTTTATTTGTGTTAGCTGTCCATTGTTGTGATTAAATACCTAATAAAATAAACTTAGTGGAGAAAAGATTTATTTTGGCTCATATTTTTAGTCCATAATCATTTGGCATCATTGCTTTTAGGCCTGTGGCAAGGCAGAAACATCATGGCAGAAGGACATGGCATAGGGAAGCTGTCATCTTATGGTATCTAGAAAACAGAAAGGGACCAGAGAGAGATACTTTCCTATGACCTGCTTCCTTCAACTAGGCTCTACCTTTTACAGTTTCTACCACTTCCCAATGACGTACCAATAGATTAATCTTTCAGTGAAATCAGAGCCCCCATGATCCAATTACTTCCTAAGCCCTACCTCTGAACATTACTGCATTGGGTACCAAGGTTTCAACCCATGAGCCTTTGGAAGATATTCCAGATCTAAAGGAAATACTAAACTCTCTCTAGTCTTAGTAAATTCGCATGATATAATTTCTGCAAGTAATTTATTCGAACAGAAGCTAAAGTTTGCTATAAGATGTTGTGGATTTCAGTTTATAAAATACTTTGGATAAAATGTCTGTGCGAAAATTATTTTAATTACAACTTTCCACTGTACCTTTAAAAACCAATTTCCTTAAGAATAGTTACTGTTTTCTTCCCATGTCAGGGCTCTATAGCTATAGCTACACAAAAATAACCAAATTCCTTTGTTAGGCAGATATTTTTCTGAATTTAATTTCTGTAGGAAAAATTATACAAAGACATAGTATTAGGAATTTGGAATCTGTTTTAGTCAGGTTTTGGTTTTTTGTTGTTTGTTTGGTTGGTTGGTTGGGTTTTTTTGCTACTATGACTTAACCCAACCAGCAAAACTGTAGAGGAGGAAAACTTTATTTAAGGCTCACAGTTTCAGAGTTTTTAGTCCATAGAAGGCTGGCTCCATTTCTTGAAGCTTGAGGTGAGGCAGAACATTATGGCAGAAGAGTGTGGCAGAGGGAAGCAGCTCACGTGGTGATTAGAAAGCAAAGAGAGATCTTAACTTGCCAGATACAAATATATACCCCAAAGCCACACCCCCAATTCCCACCTTCTCCAGTTACATCCTACCATTTCAATTATCACTCAGTTAATCCCTATCAGGGATTAATTCACTGATTAGGTTAAGGATATAACCCAATAATTTCTCCTGCAAACCGTCTTGCATTGTCTCACACATGAGCTTTGTGGGGACAGCACACCTGAATCATAACAGAGTCATTTTTGAAATTTCAGATACTATTGTTGGGTCAATATTCACTCAGCCCATTGTCTTCATTTTTATGTCAATTCTATTAAGACTAATATACAAAGTAATGCCCCTATGCCATAATGAGATCCCACACCTTCAAAGAAATATCACTTAATATTCACCACAGTCTAAGTAAAAAGAATGTTCTGAAACATATTTAAAATTTTTGAACAGCAAGGATTGAGTCAAAGTGTTTTCTAGGAAGGCACATATCTCAGTGGATAAATGATTAGTTAGAAGGCAAGAAATCTGGACTACATTCTTGGTTTTGCTACATCTTAACTATAGTGCCTTGGAGGTCACAATTTCCTAGAAAATAATGAAGTTGAAGAGGTGAATGCCTTCTAAACCCATGTTTCTAATTAACTAAAATGCTCCAAGCATGTTAGTAAACCATATATTTGTAAATATATATATATGTGTGTGTGTGTGTGTGTGTGTATGTGTGTACTCATGCATAGAAATAGCTTAACAAAACTATTAAAACATGTTCTTTATACATTCTGAGCTCCTGAATTTTGACTAGTTAAAAGAAGAGGAGCACTTACAACCAAGACTCTGTGTCCAGGTACCCCAAACCATTGGCCTACCCAATTCTGACAGCAAATGTACCAAAGAGTAAACTGAACAGTCTCCTTTTCAGGAAAGTTGCCATAAACATTGTTTCCCACCTTCATGGCTGTCTTCCTTAGGGGACAGTGGGTAAAATAAAAGAAAGTGTGGGTCCTTCCTTGATCTTTTGTCTTCAGAGTGCTAGCCACCAGGAATCTGGAGCTCAATTCCCTAGCCTCCAGGACTATAGGAATCAAGTTACCCAAGGCACTGAGGTAACTGTTTTCTAGTGTAACTAGCTCATATTCCAAGGACATTGACTTGCACCCTGCCCTTTCTCTTACCCATACCTAAGCTTCTAATGAAGCCAGACCATTTATCTACCCAGTTCCTGGCATGCAAGAGTATTTTAATAATGTTAATTACAACGAAGAAAATGTAGTATTCTTGTGGAGTGGGAGAGGGAGGGAAACACCATGGCTCATCAGGCACTAAAGGAAATGATAAACTAAGAGATGTAATCAACCCAGATGGGAGGCCAAAAGGAGAAATAAAGGGGTTGACAAAGAAGAATAAGGGACCAAATGTGACCCTGGAATGAAGTGACAGGAACAAGTTTGTGATTTTGAGATTCTAGTACAGAGGCTTTCCTCTTACATATGCCTTTGGCAGAATCTTGCTGGATTAGACCTTGCAGCTCACTTCTTTTGGTCCTCTGAGGAAGTCTGGCATGATCTATGGCTAAAGGCCATTAACTTGACTGGTGAGACCTCCCTTTTTGTTCTGTCACCTCACTGGTGACAACAACCAAGCTGTGAGTTACACACACATTTAACTATTTAACTTCAAGACTAGTAGTAGATTCACATTGACCATTACAACTATCCAGTCTGTTTTACACAGTTTCCAAGGTCTTTGCTGATGGTGCTTCATTGTTTGATTCCTATTGTTTAGGTCTTTCAAACTTCTCTGTCTTTGTCTACTATTTAGTGGCAAGGACTGGTATATTTGGGAAACAAGAAATAGCAGCTAGGGGCTGGGGATGTGGCTCAAGCGGTAGCGGGCTCGCCTGGCATGCGTGCGGCCCGGGTTCGATCCTCAGCACCACATACCAACAAAGATGTTGTGTCCGCCGAGAACTAAAAAATAAATATTAAAAAAAAAAAAAGAAATAGCAGCTCAGACTTGCAACCAGCAAAGCCACCCCTGAAAAGAGGTCTTTCTCAATTGTCATATCCTGTTTTCATGTCTGATAGTGGTTAAAGCTTCCACACCTACCCAAGGTATATTCTGGTTCAGAACAGCCTCAAAGTAAGAAAATGATCATCCATTACACAAGCATAACACTAGGTACCAAAATAAATAAATAATACAATTTTTCTAAAAC